TACAGGGCGGAGTTTCTAACTCCCCCCCCTTTCTCATCCTGGACTTGGGACCAGGCAATGGCATCCTTGCCGTGGAACGAACCCGGTACCTTTGGATTAGAAATCCAACGCGCTATCCACTGCGCTATAGGGACACAATATAATGAAATACCATCCTCAAAACTGCACCATCTAAACCGAAGATTGAGCGAAAATGCATCGTTTGTGATAGTTAATATATCTAACCATTTATTTTCAAGCAATCTTGTCCTTTCTTGGTCTACAATCCTGTCGCGGGAATATATCATATAAGAATATTAAGTGTTTTTTTATTTATTGAATTCCTGTTTTCACTCACTAAGATTATTTTGTATTGTTAACTTAGTACACCTAAACTTCATAAACTAGCTGAATCTTGTGAGATGATATTGAAATTATATGTCCAGAAACATCGTTAACAGCCAGGGTACCCAGTGGTGATTCAATGCACTGTTATAATTATAGATTTCCGTTACTGGGTTTATGACATTAAGTACTTCTAGTGAACATTTTATATCGATTTGGCTTCATTGATTAATATAAGCTATTTTTTCTCCACCTATATATGAATTAAGTACATGTATCTTTACGGTTGGAATAAGCCTAATGCTCTTCCCGTTACTCTACCTGATTAGGAACCCAATTGTGTGTGTATCTGTTAGCTCGAGTAATTAGTCCTTTGTCTTTGTTGAATTTCGCACAAAACTACCAGAAGGCCATCTGCGCTAGCAGTCCCTGAGTTTGAAGTGATAGACTAGAGGAAAGGCAGCTAGTCAACACCATTCATCGCCTACTCGTGGGTTTCTCCAATCGAATAGTGAAATTTGACACTCACTCTTATAACCTACCCACGACCACAAAGTGCAGAGCACGATTTTGGGGGGGGGGCAGTAATGGGGCACGAATTACGAAATCTTGGATCAGCAGATCAGCACACTGAACACTGGAGTGCATCCAACCCAGGAATTGAACACCGAGAGGCGTGATTCATGTACAAAGCTCTAAAATCAATGACTTTAAAATCTGTATGTACCTGTATTAATAAATTGTATCATGTATTGCGAGTTTAATGCGTATATCGTTTGCTGCTTGACCTTATGGAAGTGATACAGATCAATCGTCTGCTGCTTGACCTTATGGAAGTGATACAGATCAACTGATCAGCCTAGAGACTGTTACGAACGCCCTCTAACACTTAGGAGTAGCTTGGGTGTTAATCCTATATTGAAGGTTTCAACAAAGTGTCTTCTATTAAGTCCGGGTCTCTTGTTATTGTAATATTTATCAACCTTATAAATTCAAAAATATATTTTCAGGAGACAGAAGTAAAGTAAGAAGTACATACGAACTTGTGCTTCAGACTAGCTTCTTTACATTAGTTGTTGCTATACTTAATTTGGAATTAAAAATACATCAACTTCTAGCTCTCATATTGTACGTATGGTTATATATTTCTTATTTATTAATAATTTCTGATGAAAAGTGGCTTATTATTGAAAATCAGAGCTAAAAAGTGGCTTATAAATTAGCGAATAAAACCTGTATAACAAACGGACTAGAAATGTGTAATGTTATAAATCAATACATAAAAAAAAAGAAACTAAAACCTATCTATAATTATAATGCATTGCTTCATCAGTTAGGCATGACCTCATATTACTAATATCGGAAGATAATTTTGTAAAGAAAATAAAACGTAGAAGCAATTGTAATCTATCATTGTTGATCGAAAATCTGGAAATGTGAGGTTATGTAGTAATTAGCAAGTTCTTTTGCTGGCCACTACAGTTTCCTTGACCGCGTCCACTAGATAACCAGGATGTGACTCAGGTTGAATATGTGGTCAAATATGCAGGAGCTAATATTGCTTACAAGCCACGAACAAGGTAAATCAGGAAACAATAATTATCTATAAAACAAAAAAAAATGTGAGATCATAAAATATATTTTTTCGTAAATCAGTCATATTTTGTTCTTCTTCTTTATTTCGTGAAATAATAAATTAAAAATTCAAATGTATCCAATCCAAAGAATCGTAACAACTTACATCGGTAGAGTAAGCAAATGAATGACAGCGATAGAAACAAACAGGATGTTAGTACACAGGGTGTACCAAAAAAATTGGGGATTTGGCTGTCGTTGGTACTCCGCTTCTAGCCTTCTGTCGGTGAAACGAAGCAGCACCGGATTGAAGTCGTCTGTAGAGTTGACACATTGTCTGTTTAAAATATAAATTAAACTCTTTTATAGATTTTCGTTTTTTAATATCGTGTAGTATTGAATTATTTTTAGGCATATTTATATTTTTCACAAAAAATATCTACAAATGAATGTAGAGTGAGAAACAAAAACAGCAATTTTGGACGTATTTATTAGTTGTTTCGGACGACTATTTTTGGCAACACGATGTCCCTGAAAAGAAATTATTAAAAATCAATTTAGGTAATTTTGGTGATCATTGTACATGTCAGGGGGATCTTGGGATTGGGTATTCAAAATAATATTTTTGTTTTGGGTTTTCAAAGGCGTCAGGTTCATGTTTCGTTATTGTTTAGTGAGCAGTGTAGGCTATATGTACTTTTGAGAGTGGGTCACTGCGTGCGACATTTCATGCATAGAATGATATACACAAGTCAGTTATTTCTTCGATACTGATGGCTTGGATACAGAGCCACGATCTACTGTTGTCAGACAAACTTCCGTAACAATTCTACATAAAATAAAATAAAAATATTCCACTTGTTCGAGGTATCAAAGGTTCTGTTTTATGTAGTTGAAATAAAAGATGGACTGACAGCAGTTGAAGTGTACAGCCAGTAAAATCTAAGGTAAGATACTAGATCTGCACAGTGAGTTATACGTGCTCCGTCTACCGCAGGGAATGAACCCCGAATCTTAGTGTTATAAGCCCTCCAGCTTTCCACTGAGTCTCCACACGCGTGGAGCACCTTATCATTTAAAATTTAGTTGAGTACTAAGTAAAATTTTCAGAGGTTTGCACCGACAGACACTGAACCCTAATGTGGTAGCCAGTATAATAAAGTTCCTTTTCTAATGTTACCACCCCCTGGGGGCTCAGCGGTAAGTCTCACGGTATATATAACACTAAAACTAAGGTTTCAATACCAGCATGCTCACCAGTTTTAATAAAGGATAAGAAATAGTCAGTTCATTCAACATGCTCACCAGTTTTAACTAAATAGTAAGGAATTGTTAGTTCATTCAACATGCTCACTAGTTTTAACTAAATAATAAGGAATTTTTAGTTCACTCAAGATGCTCGCCAGTTTTAACTAAATAGTAAGGAATTGTTAGTTCATTCAACATGCTCACTAGTTTTAACTAAATAATAAGGAATTTTTAGTTCACTCAAGATGCTCGCCAGTTTTAACTAAATAGTAAGGAATTGTTAGTTCATTCAACATGTTCACTAGTTTTAACTAAATAATAAGGAATTTTTAGTTCACTCAAGATGCTCGCCAGTTTGAACTAAATAGTAAGGAATTGTTAGCTTAGGCATATAATACGATAAACAGTCAGATCACTATTGAAACTTATGTCAATTTCTGTGAAATTTGCTAAGGAAATATGTTCCCATACATTTTCAAATAATGCTTTACATCGTAACACATAACTCCTTATCACGTGATTTATTCAAGTAATTACACAAGGTTCAAGAAATCATTCACGAGTGAAAAGATATTTGTAAATATAATCTACTAAAGAGAAAAACAATCACAACAGAAGAATCTAAAACGTTTTAAACAAGCCAAAATACCTAGAAGTTTATGATAGACGTTGCTTGTCTGAAGTGTAGATACTACTGTAGGTATTATAAGTTTAGTAGTTGTTAATAGTGTCCAGTGGAATATTTCTCTGAGTTAGACAGAGTGTTCTCGGTAAGTTCCCGCTGCTTCTAACAACGTGTATTCTTATGTTATATGAATATGCTATTCGTTTCTATCTTCTTGTAGTTTCAGAGATTTGTTCCGAATTCATTATTTGTTCTGGATATAAGCAGGTTTCACATAATACGTGGTCGAGAAAACCGTTAAGTTGATATTGTTTCAAGTTACCTTTTTTTTATTGGTTGTTCATGAAAGTAGATAATATCTATTACTGCCCGGGGAGAACATTGCTTAATACGGCACATTGTGCAAGGATGTTGACATCAGTGTCTTTCAGTGGTAGTACAAAAGACGTATAGAGATTACGACTCTACCAATGTTGCAATTAGGATGACCAGTCACTAGGGTAGCGCATGTCGCTCTAGGTGATTACGAGGTTTCTTGTGAACTAACAAACAAACTTTGAATTTAGAAAATCTGGTACAAGATTTCAGTTGATTAGTCTGAAGGAAGAGCCAGTAAAAGTGATTATCCCGTATAAGTGAACAGCAAGCACCCACACTTTGTTTATGTTTCATTGTATAATAAAGATTGTTTATTTAGTATGTTAACTTGTGTTTAGCCTCAGTATTCCATTTAACATTGACTCAGTTAGTAAGTGTTTCAGTGTTGCTTAATAATCGATATCTGGAGCTAATCTCCTGTTATACAATGGACCTAGCTGATTTAGCTTTACAGTTAATTTAGGTAGAAACATTTCCAAGTGAGATAAAATGTTACACTTTAAGAAGAGCAAAAAAAAGAAAAAAAAGAAAATAATTTTAGACTTTTCTACCCAATTCTGTAAGATAAAAGTTAAGAGCGCTTTTCAAAGCAAGTGAAAAATTGGAAACTGTATACACTAAAATTTTTAGTTTTATATAATCAAGTAAATATTCTTTTAGATTCCGTGTATATGAGTTTTTGTTTTTTAAAAGAAAATTTCTGTTTGCTAATCTATATTTTACTGTGTGTGTGAATATATATCTTCATGTGTGAAATTTATATCTTTATGCTTTAGCTGGTATAAATCTAGATGTTTATATATGTGAATCTAGATCTTACTTTATGCAAACGAAATATTTCTGTGCGAACCTAATGGTTTCTGGTGTTAATGTAGATCTTTTTGTATATATATATATATATGTAGATTTTTATGTATGTGAATCTGATTGTGTATTCTGTGTGGTAACCTAATTATTTCATTGTGTTTAGCCAAAACTTTCAAATGTGGATTATAGATACTACAATATTTTCATCTAGATTTTTGATATAGTAATCTGGTTTATTTCAGTGTTTTATTAAATTCTTTCAGCGCGAGAACCAAAATTTCATTGTTTTGTTTGCTTGTTGAATTTCGTGCAAAGCTACACGAGAGCTATTTGTGCTAGCCTTGCCTAATTTTAAAGTGATATACTGGAGGGAAGGCACCCCTAGATTTGTTAGGTCTCAAATTGCAGAGCACGATTTAGAGATGTGGGGGGAGGCAGTAATAGAGCGCAAACCATGGAGCTTCAGATCTATAATTTCATACTTTAGCCAATTAGGCTGTGATCGATTTAAAGTTCGTAATATGAATCTTGCATTCAGTGTGATATTTGCATAAGGGTTTTTCTTAAGCGTCTAAAGTAATAAAGATTAATATTTAATATTTTTAGAGGGCCAAACAAATAACTCTGAATTTAAGAATGATTTATAGGTTATGTTCCTTAGTTTTTGAGCTAGGTAGAATTGTGTGTGCATATGGATGTACCCGAGTTTTCTCTTTTGGGTCAAGTTTAGGGACCACGAAGAGTAAACCAAAAATTGGCCACATGCTTCAGTGCATACCCTTAATCTAGAAAGGGTCACGCTCATAATTTCTTCTATTAACAATTGGGAAAAAAACAGGAAAATCAATGAAACACATCAATGTTGAGGCCAAATGAAAGTTTCGGCTAGGTAAATACAAAGATAGTTTTTACTCCTATACAAATAAAGTTGAAAATAATTATCAATTTATCAGTATCTGTTTATCCAATTAACATAGGCTCTAACTCAAAATAAATTTCACATACTTTTTTATATTATTGTTTTATTAGCCGGAGTAACCGTCCCCTGGATCGACGTTATGTAAATTCATGATTAATGAAAGGTTATCTTAGGACATAAAACGTTGCTTCCCTTATATGTAAGGGCAAAAAACGCCCATAAAATCTGAAAAACACAAAATGTGGAACCACAGATTTGTATTTATCTCCCCATAGACCCCACAAACGTTTATGCCAAATTTGGTAAAGATCCATTAACAGGGGAAGAAATAGTGGTTAAAAATGCCCAAAAACGCAAAATGCAAAACTGAAAATTTGCATTTACTCCGAATGGATCTAATGAACCTCCACATCAATTTTGGTGAAGATCCATCCACATCCTGCGAATTAGTTACATGGACATACAACAGACAGTATTATTATATTTATGTAGATTTTGGTGTATGAAATTATTGGATTGTTGTAAAAACAACACTACAATATAAGGGGTGGATCATTTACGCTCACCTGCACGCACCACCAGAGATAACTTGGGTGTGACGTTACGCGGTGCATAATATGCCAAACCTCAAAAGGAAAGGATACCTCATACAGTACAGATGCATGGAGAAAAAAACTGAAATCGGTGCCTTTGAAATTCAACCTATTTAAGGCCATAGACAATTACAATTTATAATTTCTAAAAACCCAACACGTGACGAAGATTGAACCCGAGTGCTGACAGTCTATTGTAACTGTTGCAATCATTTTGACTTCAAGGCAGATGAACAAAAGGTTATTGCCAAGACACAAAAAAATACATTCGTGTGGTGAGTTATTAGAGCATCTCTGGCACGCAGAAGGTTGTGTTAGGATCGACATCATTTCTTATCTGTGGCATGGGAACAGCATAGAATCATTTGAAAGACTTTGTAGACTTCAAGGCAGATGAACAAAAGGTTATTGCCAAGACACAAAAATTACATACGTGTCGTGAGTTATTAGAACATCTCTGGTACGCAGAAGGTTGTGTTAGGATCGACATTATTTCTGATCTGTGGCATGGGAACAGCATAGAATCATTTGAAAGACTTTGTAGAACAAAAACAGACCTAATTAAAGACAATATTGAGTATAATTGAGGGATGTCATTGGTAATATGCTAGTATTTAACGGTGGGGAACACCATGATATAAAAAACAATATGCATCAAGCTTTCAGGTGGCATGCAGAAAGACATATCAGTTCCTGCGTGCAACTAAGAGGAGGCCAATGACAGACTGATATTTCAAGTACACCGTACTGTCAGACATGAGAAATTA